CTCTCTCTCTCTCTCTCTCCCTCTCTCTCCCTCTCCAAACCCAGAGCTTGCTGATTCAGTTAGCATGACTAGCCTGTGAGTTCCAGGAATCTATCTTGCCTTCCCAGTCCTGGGGGTTCAGGTGCACGTCGTCACAGACGGCTCTTCTGTGGGGGCTCTGGATCTGTGGTCAGGCCCTCATGCTCGCTGTCGAGCTTCCTCACCGAGTCGTCATTTCCCCACCGCCAGCAGGGAGGCTTTCTGTTGTGGGTGAGGTGGACCAGGCGGGGAGGGTTGCCGGTGCCTGGTGACAGTGACAGCAATACTTCTGTCTGTCGTCTGTCTGTCTGTCTTGATGTGGGGTTTGTAGTTTCCAGGCCAGCCTCACCCCAGCTGACCACACAGTTACAGGGTTCTGCTGGAGATCCCTGGAGGCAGACGCTGTCTGGGCAGAGGAATTGCCGGTCTCCAGGCTTCACCAAGGCAGTGTCTCATCTCCCTTGGTGCTGCCAAAGGGAAGGCACGGGCTGAACACCCAGAATCCCCAAATCTGAAATCCAAGATGCTCAAGAATATGCACCAACATGGTGGCCCAAGTAGAAAAATTCACACTTGGCCTGTGTGACAAGTTGTAGTGCAAACACAGGCCCACTAAAAATCAGGTGTGAAATGATCTTTAGACCTTGAGTCTGGAGCACATAGGAAATATAAATGAGTTTCCTGTTCAGTTTTGGGTCTCATCCCAAAGCTAACTCAAGGAGACAAAGGTTCCAAAATCCAGAAAGTCCCAAGATCAGAAACATTGTTTACTCTGTATGTGTGTGTGTGTGTTTGTGTGTGTGTGTGCATGCTTGTGCTTGTACGTGGAAGCCAGATGTTAATTTCACGTGTAGTTCCTCAGGACACGGTCCACCTTGTTCTATGAGATGCCAACTGGCCTGGAACTTGCTGATTTGGGTGGGCTGGCTGAGTAGTTAGCCCCAAGGAGACGCCTGTTTTCACATCTCCAGAGCCAGGATTACAAGGGTGTATCACACTTGGCTTTTTTGACATGGGTTCCGGGGATCAAACTCTGGTCCTTGTGCATGCCTGGCAAGCACGTTACCACTCAGCCGGTCATGTCCCCAGCCCCAAGGCATGGGTTTTATATGCACACCAACCATGTTGTCTCTTCCCTAGAACTGGGGTTTTGAGCATGTGCCTGCCTTTTTAAAAAGTGTTTTCTGGGGGTTGCAGCCGGGTTCTCACACTTGCGTAGCAAGCGCTTTATGAGCTCAGCTAGCTATTGGAAACTCAACTAATTCCCCAGTCCCCATCCATCCGCTACTTGGACATGCCTTTGACAGTGTGTTGACTCCACGACATGTAGCTTGAGCGCCACCCCCCCCCCCCAATCACTACCACCTGTCACACAAGAAAAGTTTATTGAAAAATAAAGTTCTCCCTAGTTTCTCTACAACACAGGAAAACAAAGCAGTGTTCTTTTCGCCTGGGACAGTAAGTTGGGGACAGCGCCACCTCATTGGCAGGACCCTGTGACTTAGCCCCAGGACTGACAGTAGAAAACCAGCGCACCAGGATCCATTTGAAGACACCAACGTGAACGGCCATGAGCTTAACATCAAGGCTGTGACAGCAACTGCAGAGGAAGGGACATCACCATGTCCTTTGGCATTGTGGTTACATCATTTCCTTTAACACTTGGGATGGGCTCAAAGCAAAACAAAACCACAAAACGAAAAGGGTGCGTTCCATGGGCTGATGTGCTCATGCTCCCGGCCCGCCATCCACCAGGGCTCTCTCTGTGTACCTCCTACCCACGCTGGCTTCCACGGGCAACTACCCACCACACCAGCATAGGCATCCCAGCTGCGGGGGGTGGGGCGGGAGGGTCTGAGTGGGAAGATGGCAGCCTTAAGTGCCACAAAATCGGGGGCAGAATGGGGCTCTGAAAAAGATAAACCCAATCATTTCATCCCTTAAACTGAGATGAGAGGGGTTGGAAAAGCACGCTGGATTCCCCGAAATTCTCCTCTCTGTTCTGCACCTGAAATCCACCCAGAGCTGTTTTACCACGGAAGAGGCTAAATCCGCAGAACATAAACAGCAAACTGGTATTCAAGTGACCTCTGGGCCCAGTTTTGAAAGGCATCAAAAACCCCTGCCTTAGGGCCTCATGTGGCTCCTTTGGGGGTAGTGATGGATTCTTTTTTTTTTTTTTTTTTTTTTTTTTAGGGACCAGGTCATGGGATTAATCTTGGATAGGATGGGAAAGTGGCCAAGGTAACCAACCTGCTGGGAGCCACCCTGTCCAGCAGGGGGCAGCAAAGGGTCTCGCGGGGACTGTAAATCCAGTAATTCACTCTTTCTTTGCCTTAAACAAATTGAAGATTCTATTATTGCATTATAGAGGAATAAAAATTAAACTCTAATTCAAGGAGTGCAACTTGTGAGAGAACTTTTAATTTTGAGCTCAAAAAGTTCCCCAAAGAAACCCCTGGAATGTTCCAGAACATATTGGTGGGTTCAACTTCACTTAATAAAGTCTTTCAGTCTTGTTTCATGGAGTGCTGAAGACTGACATGTTTCCCAATCAGTGTATTCAAGAAAACACTAGAATTCCAGTGAACATGGTAGGCACAGAGCTTAAACATTTGGAACAATTAATTCCTATACCACTGATCGACTCAACAAGATTTTTATGTAACCATCATGTTTGAATTAACAGATAGGGGGTGAGCGCAGCTCTTTATTTCTCAAGTTTTATAATATACTACTAATATCAATATTGAACATTCACCAGGCTTTCTACGAGCCAGGCACTGTGCTATGGGATCCCCACAGAACCCTAAAGGCTAGGAGAGCTAGAGTAATTCTTATTTTCGGTATCCAAGACTATACAGCTAATTTGGTCTTTTGCTATACGTGAAAAAACAAAATCCAAACCCAAACAACTTGACTTTGCACTTTCTGTTGAAGGCAACAAGAACGAAAGGAACTCCTCTTCAGCTCCAAGCTGCTAGCTAGCTTCCTGAACGACTATAAATCTATTTCTGCCAGCGATCTACTCTAATGAAGACATACTCTGCAGCCACACACAGGGACAGATGGGATCAGAATAAAGCCAATAGAGAAATTAAAATAGTTTTAAATAAATAAAACAGTCCAGGCTTGGAATAGTAACACACACAGCAGAGCCTGTCGTTAATAAAACACTTGGCTTTTCCTTTTCGGTCAAGAAGTTTGGGGGAGGGTGGCGGTGCCTAATTACACACAGTCTAGGTGAACCACCCTGGTCTGACACACGGCACACGCACACACATCTACAAGCAACAGAGAGTTTCAGTGCAACCCAACTCACCGGCAGGTCGTGACCCGTGAGCGAGCGGTCCTGCAGCAACACCCATGTTCATTCACTAAGGAAGGGGAAAAGGGAGCGGACATCTCTCACCTCCATCATGCTAACTAGTTGAAGTATGTGGGGGCTACTGCTTCTGCGGAGATGTCAGCCGGGGCCGGGGTGACTGGGGAAGGAGGCCCTTCACTACCTTGGCCACCATTGAGACTCAAGAGATAGGGTTTGGTCCTGAGGGTGCCAGCAAAAGGGTTCTGGGGGTGCGTGTGCATATGCCACACACCGGGAACATATACAAACACGCACATGCGCACATGCTAAATGTACAGTCTTGTGTGCACGCATAACCGGGAACATAAATAGCCATGTGCACATATGTAGTTATTCCAGACTGGAACAATCTGCTATCGGCCTTCAATGGCACCCAGCCTTCAAAACCCAACCCCCAAAGAGAAGTGGGAAGACATGTCAGGAAGACAATGTACCACCACCACCACCACCACCACCACCACCACCACCACCACCACCACCACTAAAAACAAACAAAAAACAAAAAAACAGACAAGTATTTCCACACACTCACCAGAACCTAAAACAAATCAAATGATTCATCTCGGAGACAAAACAAAACCCCAAAACAGTCAAAGCAAAAAACTTCATACAGCGCTTCCATTTGCACACAAAATCAGACCACATACAGAAATGCACGAGGTGTGAACTGGGATCCTGTGAGGCATGGCCCCCCTCAGGAGTTCTTGCTCTGAAAAGGCCTTCACCTTCTGAAGAAATGCATTCTCTCTTAATAAATCACATAAAGGTTCCCCCCTATTTTAAGAGCCTAACATCACAAACGGGGAAATAACCCCAAAGACGAGATCTGATCACAGCGCAGGAGAACATGAGTTCTGATTTCAGGTGTCTCTCCCTGTGGAAGGTTCCGT